AGGGAGAAGGAGACAATGAGACGAGTGAGTTCGAGATTGTGTTGAACAAATCATCTTCACCGATGGACATTAACAGTAATATTTTCACCTAAGTGGTTTATAATCTTTTTAATTATATACACTTTGTTAAACTACACAATGGTGTAAAAAAAAATATACAACAAATGTAAGTAAATGGATTGATTTTTTTAGTTATAGTTTTCCTTTTCGTGGTGTACTTAATTTAATAATTAAATATCTAAGAACATTTCTTACAGAAACATATTACCACGTGTATTCAATTATTGAAATAGAACCAACAAAAAAAAAATCAATAGTGTCAAGATGGAATTTGAATAAAAATTGGCTCAATTGGTTGGGAGAAGCCAAAGGTAATCAAGCATCCATCTATATCCATGGGTACCCGACATAACTAATAAAAATTTGGACCTACGAATTAAAATTGGGTCGTCGTTTTCATCAATTTTCTTTCTTTTGAATATTATCTCAGTTTTATAAATTTGTATCCCCATTCTAATATTCTAATAGATCAATTTACCTTAAATCATGTAATCAAAAGTATCATGGCGTTATGGTGCGTTTCTTTCTGTAATATGTGCCTACATACCACGAGGTGGACCCAATAAACACAAACTATATTCGAATTAGTACTGTAAATTATTTTTTTGAGAGAAAATACTACATTACTTTCTATATGAAAAGACGACATTATTTTGTAACATCTCACGTAGACATGTGTATTCCATTATTCAGTAATTAAAAAAAAACCAGTAATAAGATTGTGGAATTAAGATTATGATTTAAAAAGGCAATAGAAATGATTTCTTACGAAGAATTAAATTAAAATAATAGAAGATAAAGATGCGTAAATAAAGGGAAAAAAATATATTTTTTGAACTCTTTATAAATTGTATAAAAAAATGGAATTTATAATTTTCCCTCACTATATATCTTCCGATAAAAGTCACCATTTGAAGGTTGACATTTGGGATAATACTGAAAACAAACTATAGATGTAATTTTCTTTTTATTCGACATTCGAGGCTTAAACCCATATATTTCCATGGATTGATAAGGGGTGATAATGATACGGTATAAATCATCCTTCTCAAAAGAGGTTAGACCAAAAAAATCAAAATTCTATTTTAATCACTAGACCACCACAAATTTTTCTATGGTAAATGTAAATTTTGTAAATTTGCGGAAAACAAAGGTTAAAGATGTTCCGTAGCATATAATAGACATTTGCTCCTCAACGCCATGAGAAATCATCTGCCTAAAATTTCTTTATGTCCCCCACGAAATGTTGACCTTTGTCGTGTCAAAACAAAAGTAAAAGCTAGCTTTTTGATATTATGCTTTGCACAAACTCAATTTTCATAAAACCATTTATAGCAAAAAGAACCACTTTCTTTTTGGACATATCACTTCTTTTAGTTTGATTAAAGGAAAATTCTCAATAATGTCTTGAATTGAAATTAGGGTTGCAAGATAACTGTATTCCCGTAATGCTAAAGAAGTCATCAATTTCAAAGGATACGAAGCAATTTATGCTCACTATCTACTTTAACTTTTATTTTTCCACAAACGATCGTTAAAGACTTAAAAGTTTGTATATGATTTTCTTTTTTATATATGCACTCTTATGTATGAATATACCTAGTTAGTATTTGGGTCGTTATCATTGTTTTAGTCCCTCAAGAGAAAAGAGATGCAAATAGAAATTATAAAACATTTATGGAAAAGAAAAAGAGGAAGATTCCGTTCCTAATAAGTAGCCACCATTCTTTCTCACATCTCGTTTTCCCTTTTCCTTGCCCACTTCTCTGCACTTCGGATTTTTGAGGTTTCATTTTTATCTTTTATTTTTCTGTTTATAGCATTTTTGACAGATTATTTTCTAAATCATTAGACCTTCATTCATAACCAAAGAAAAACATTTTATTCATAAAGGAATAAATAAAATCTTGTAAAAACTTCAAAAATTGCAGTTAATAAGGACGGTTTGACTGCTATACATCAAAGCATCATTCCATATAGAATTCTCGATTATGCATTTATATTTTTTTCTAATGCAATAAATCTTATTGATTTAACAGTTTAATGACACTGTGGAATTTGAAAAGTAAATAGTAATTTACGGTGAGATGAAAAAAATAGGGTGTAAACATGATTGGATCGGAGTGCACTACTTTGAGATAAATCGATTAAATGAAGTCCACTAGTTGATTGCTTTTCATCGAGGTTCTTACAATACACGGCGCCACAGATTGTTCGAATTTCATTATCGATTTATTTTCTAAAATCAGGTTATACACATTAAATAAATTTCCTGGTATATTCTTGTAATGACTCATCAGAACGGGTATATAATCTTATTATATATAATTATATTGATGAAACGTACGATTTTATATATAAGGAATTTATATTCTACAAAATTTTAATTTCCACTCAGAGTGTGTAGCTCTAGGTCACGAGTTCGAATGTCGATAGTAGCAAGGAAACTAAATTAACCTACTCTAATCCTTCACCGGAAGAGAAGAACTTTTGGTAAACCAATAATAAGTAGGTCACTTGGTAAAAAATCAAATATTTACCCAAATAATGAAATTGAAAACCGATCCAAACTTTCAAAACACAGAGAGAAATTTACGCACGAACAAATATCTCATACATCAACTTTCTACATCCGTGGACTGGCAATTTTAATTTTCAATACTATTAAATAGGGACATGCATATATATATATATATATATATTCAACAGGTCCTTTTCGCGTACTTTAAAGTCTACTTATCGCCTTCTTTAATCATTCTGAACTCGCAATTTTGAAGTAGTTTAATGAGATATTCTTTTTTTTTTTTTTTGAGATATTCTTTCTTTCTATTCAACGGTACAAACTAAGACTTGCTTATGCGCTAAAAAGATTCTTTGACAGAAAAATAAAACGTAAACAGAATAATTGGCGATTGTTATCCGATCCAAATAAACAATAACACACCAAACACAAATAAAAATGGGCTCACATTAGTCACGTATAATAATTAATGTAAAAGACGAGCAAAGGGCTCTTCTTTACGGTACGGTGAAATTAGTGGGAGTACTATTCTTTCTTCGAATGTTGGCCAAGGGCTTGTAGATTCTTGTCTAAGTTTTAAGCTAAGGATTCATAAACACATAATAAAAACTTCCTTTTCTTTGTACATATGGAAATATCACAAACACACATATGAGAAGTAAACAGAGCTCTTAACTCAAAAACAAATAAAAACATTATCTGTAAATTTAAATCTTGACAATAGATTTTTTTTATTGGTATTTTAGAAATGAAATCTACGATATTCTTTCCATTTCAAATTAAATATCGTCTTATCATTAATTTTTAATTTCAACAATAAAAATTGATTTTAGATTAATTTTCAATAGGAATACACATAATACCTAATTAAACATTAGTCACAAGTAATATATATCAAAATACAATGTGTAACTTTGTTTTCATAGAGATAATTTGATACGTTTCTTAATTTGTTTAAACACTAAAAAGTGTTTAAACTATATTTTTTGTAAGACAGAAAAGATTAACCAACTGATGGTTGAAAGGAGCCTAGCTAGTAACTCAAAATATTTCCTACCATTCCTAACTTGCCTGATTTCGAACCCCGTGGGAACTAAGATAATGGCCATGTTGCCATTAGTGATCTAGATGATCATAGTAGTATAATTAAAGAATTTACTGTGTTAGTTGAATACTTATGCATGGTTTGAATGTTCTCACTGCAATTTTAATCATAAGTTAACATTTTAAACATCTCTAATAAAAATAACCGACTTTTCACATATATTAATAGTGATCATCATTAGTCTGAATTAACTATGGCATGAATTCTCTGGTTATAGTATTTATTGTTTGCAGACATATGGAATAAGACCCATTAATTTACAGCTAGATATATCAATATATGACATGAACTGGACTAATCCATCATGATTAACAGCATCTTAACTTTATAAATCTACTAAGTATATATTACTTAACGTAGAACCCAAGTTGGGAAATATGATTCTCTTCATATTGTTAACATGTGCATAAAATATATACCTTTATAACATGCTGAGTGTTTATGAACCGAATCAAACGCAATCATGATTTGAGTTTGATCTGAGCAAAAAATGTTTTAAACGTTTATTAATCTCAATCAAAATCACATTTCGTATGATGTGTTAATCTTTTATGACTCCACGAGTGAGTATTTGTGTACATGCATATAGAGATTGTAAACGTTACTTAGGAGTCACGATCATCGGTAGATACATCAATTTTTGGTTATACAGATCTGGAAATGCGACCAAACATGTGTCGAAAGGACTAAGAAATTGAATATGACACAACGAATCATCATCGTCTCAAATGAGAGTTTTTCTGTACACATCGTTGGTTCAGTCACGTGCGTTCGACAGTTGAATTTACGAAATTATCCAATAAAAAAAAAAGAGAGTCTTGCGTTTTAGGGCAACGCACGCAGAGAAGAAGACAGAGAGAGGAGGTGAAAGAGTAAGATTCCTTTATCCACGTGGACCCCAAAACCCCACGCTCTCTCTCATTGTGTGCATGTGAACTTGGCATCTTTTTTTTGTTCTTTTTAATTTCATTTAATATAAATGTTTTTTAAAAAAAAAAGTTGATCTTACCAAGGAAACTGTTACTGAAAAGGATGAGTAACTCTCGTCTCCAGTCCCACCTTATAATTATTTTTGTTTTTATAATGTAGACAAAACAATAACAATAATAAGTAAAAAAACAAATTACACATCGTCACCATTCACCAACAACAAGAACCATTCATTTAAAAAACATTAAAAGTTACAGTTCCTTTTTTTTTTATTTGCTAATGAAAAACCCCACATAGTCCCCCTCTTTAATTAACATTTACATCTCCCAGAACGAAAAAAATAATTAAATCACATTTATTTAATTTTGTTTTCAACATATTTAATTTTTCTCAGTATAACTTAAAAATCAAAGATGAAAAAGAAAAACATAACCCCCCCTCCAATATTTAAATTCTCTTCTTCCTGTATCAAAACTTTAAAAAAAAAAAAAGACTACTAATCTTTGACCACAATCCACCCATCAAACCGGAATCATTTATCCACATATCACAGATTATTCGTCGTCTTGTTGTTATTGCTTGGCACAAGCTCAAACTCACCTCCTTCCTCTTCTTCATTCTCTTCCTCTTCTTCCTCCTCGTCGTATTCCTCTTCGTCTGTGCCTTCTTCATCTTCAAAGTTCTGATCCGACGGCTGAGAAGGATGAGGATGATTATCGGTCTGAGCAGCCGCCACCGTAGTCGTCGTCGTAGCTGCCGTCGCCGGAGGCCATTGCTGCTCCGGTTGAACCATCAAAGGAACTGAATCATCCGGTTTGATTAAACCGGAAGTTGAGGAAGAAGATGCGATGTTGTTGTTGTTGTTGTTTGAGTGGAGTTTGTTCCTCTCTCTATATAAAGCATCGAGCTGGTGAAAGTAAGGGCAAGTCTTGGAATCTTCGGGGCGTTTCTTGTTGCTCTCTTTGACTTTCTTGAAGTACTTGTTGATGTTTTCCCATTTCTCTTTGCATCTCTTCGAGTTCCTGTTGAATCCTAACCTTCTCATTCCCGCTGATATTTCTTCCCACAACGGTCCCTTTGGTCCGTTCTCTTGATACTTTGAATCAAGATTTGTCCTCAGCTTTATCAACGCCTCTATCTCCACTTTCGGCCACCGCGACGAGCTCGCCGCCGCTCCTCCCGCCGCAGAAGCCGACGCCGGAGTCATGTTCTGATCACCATTGTCCGTTTTAGTAGCGTCTAAGGTAGGTGTCACCGGCTGCGTTGGCTGCGGAAGCGGAGGAGGAGGTGGTGGTCGTTGAGGCGTTTGCTGCTGATGATTATTAACCTGCATTTGCGATCGAGTTTGCTGCGGTTGCGGTGCGATTGGTTGACCTTGAGGGTTTGGTTTTTCTGATAGCTTCTGAAGAAACGCCATAACCGCGGCGTCTTTAGCGGCGGACATAGAGCGTTCTTGTGCTAAGATCTCGTGCTCGCGGTTGATTCGAGCGATTTCTTGGACTCTCCAAGTTTCTTCTCTGACCAATCTCTCGTGCTCTCGCTTCTCGACAGCTTCCAAGAACTTGCGTTGAAGCTCCTCTTGCTTGTCAACAACCTGTTTCATCAACCGCTCGAAAAAGTCCTTCCATTTCCTCTTCCTCTTCTTCCTCGACGCGGTGGTGCCGCCAATCTCAACGTCGGAAGAAGTCGAGTAAGAAGAGGAAGAAGATGTCGAATTATCCGACAGAAAGTCTCCGGAGATGTTTGGGAATGAAGGTATGTTCACAGGCTGAGTATAAGGAGGAATTGATGAAGGAGGAAGAGTGATGCTTGTCATCGGCGGCATAACTGTCGTCACCGGAGGAGGAGTGGAGAATAATGAGCTATTGTTGTTGTTGTTGAGTGGCGGTTGAAGCGGTTGCGGTTGTGGTTGAGGCGGTTGTTGTTGTTGATGATGGAGCGAGGAGGTTGATTGAGTCTCGAGAGCTTCTAATTGATCAAAGAACCGATAAGTTTTGCCTTCGGATTTTCCGGTACGACCTTCTTTGGTTCGTTTGTGGTATTTGTAAACGTTTTCGAATTTCTCTTTGCATTTCTTCGCGTTTCTTATGTAACCAAGCTCCGCCATTTTCCTGAGAAATATTTTATATAAGAAAAGACCTCACATATTTCATAATTATCAATAAATTCGAAATTTTGTATGAATCGTTCATGGAAAAAAATGTTAAGAAAATAATTAGTAAAATGAGGATATATATAATTGAGAAGTGGATCAATCAGCATGAGTTTGGAAAAGATTCGCCTTCTCTCAGTCTCATGAATAAAACATGACCCAACTTATCTTATCTAAATTAACAGTTAATTATTAGTAAAGTCTAAAAATTAATTAGACCCAATTCAAGAACTGTCCGAATCTGAATCTCAAGACGAAAAATTTCGGAAATTTCATTGAGCTATACCGGAAAAAAGACATTTTTTTACGAAATTCCCGGAAATAATTTCGCCGAACAAAACCCAAAAGAAAGATTAAAACTGTCTAAACCGAATCTGCGACAATTAACGCTACGAAGTCCAGATCTTTTAAACCCTGTCACTTAAAAACAAGCTTAATCCTCATTTCCAATCACAAATCAAATCGAAAATTTTCAAAGAAAAGAGAAGAAGAGTCGAATAATAAAATTTTCCAAAAAAAGGAAAAGGAATAAAGGAGGAATTGGAAACGCACCTTGAAACCTCTTCCCATAAGGGTCCTTTAACGCTAGCGTCTCGAAACGCTATTCCCATGTCAGATCGTATTTTCAGCAGCGCCAGCGTTTCCTGCCGCGGCCACCGGTTTCCTCCAAAACCGCGGTCGCTCATCTCCTCCGACACCTCAAACGCCCCAACCGCTGCTGCAGCTGCCGCAGCTTCTGTAGCGGCCGAATCGTTCGATTGTGGCGGCGCCGCTGCGGTTGCGGCGGAGGAAGCGGCTGGGGTTGTAGTACCACCCAGCTGCATCATCCTTAAGGGTTTCGATTTAATCCCTTCTTTCTTTTTTCCTTAAAAATTTTCCCCCCCTCTCTGTGTATTTGACGGAGAAGTTACAGAAATGAAAAATAAAAATTAAAAAGGGAAAAATAAATATTCATAGAAGAAAGGGAAAAAAAAAATGGGAGAGATAAAGAAAGAGTGAGAGAGAGAGAGTTTACATGAGGAAGAAGAGTGAAATCTCCAGGCGCAGGGTTTTATGGAGTTAAGAGTTTGTAAAATACCTAAAGTTAATTTTTTATTTCTATATTTTTAAAAAAATATTTCTGGTGATGAATCTGCTTGTCAATCTCAAGGAGTCATTCTAAACATATTTATACTATATATTTTTTTCTCTTTAACTATTTAATTTTTATATATCTCCTTTTATTGATACTTTTCCTTTGTTTGAAACCAAAATGGATTCTTCATAATTTCTCTCTCCCATATATTCCGATTTTGGTATTTTTATTTCATTTACAGTGTAATAATAATACTGTATACGGTAATTGTGATTTAGATTGATAAGTTAACTTACACGCCGATAAATTACTATCATCAAAATGATCCTATGGGATCCTAATTCTAGGTAAAAAAAGTAATAAAATTTATATATTATAAAGTGGACAACGCTGTATTGACATTTATTTTGAATTTAGTTTTTTGATTTGATAATGATATATAGGTTAAACACTCTTAAGTGTCATTTTTACATGTTTATACATATTAAAAAATTATGAAAGTTATACATTATCCTTTATTAATATACTAAACAATTTTTAGAATTAATTTATACACTAAGATAGTAGTGTTAAAGTTAGATTTCGTTTAATATATATCAAAAATATATAAAATAATACTCTTTATATAACAAAATAAACATTTAAAATTAATTTTTTTAAAGCAGATAATATTAGAAATATAATAGCAAAATTTAGTAATTTCTTTACTTTCGATTGTTTAATTATAATATACATGTTAGAATTAACTAAAGTATAAACACCACTAATTTCTATTTTTATTTATCTATTTTCTTAAAAAGTTTTTGTAATTTTATACAGAATTAAAATTATGATTAGTAAATTTAGATTTTAATAAAATATTTTTTTAATTTTCTTTATGATATACTATATTTAATAGGTATAGATTCGAAAAACGTTACAGTAAATAACAATAAATAACACTATTAAAATTTGTAATATAGTAGTTTGTACTATTGTTCGCGTGTCATAATCTAAATTTGAATGCAATAAATAAAAATATATAAATAAATAAATTAATCATTTTTTTTACTTTTATTTTTCGATTCCCTTTCATAAAAAATATCGTTTTGAGTTACAATACGACAAGAAATCAAAGATACATAATATATAAATAAAGGAGTATAAATTAAGGGGTTGAGAGTAGAGAAAGATAGTACCTAACGACCACAAGAAAAAAGAAGACAAGCATCTTATAAAGCAGGGTCGTTCAAAAAATGAATGTAACCAAACTATGTAGAAAGATATGGTATAGATAGTCCAAGAGCTTGTGACTGTTGAAGACGACCGAACTCATTGCAGAGGAGTTCATTCTAGCACGCTTTGCCCTCAAGAGAGTTTGAATTCCACATATAACAATAGCCGGAAGTTTAGATACGATAGAGTAAAAATTTGTATTTTTTTCTTTCCAAATCTCATATATAACAACTTATAATACCAACTAATTAATATATAATTTGGTTTTAAAATGAATAACAAGTAAAAAAATATTAGTGTTGTTCAATATAATATTTCCTCTGTTATTTATATAAATTATTTAGAGTTTTTTTTTATTTTTTCAAGTTTATACGTCAAAATTATATACTATATTATGGCTATTTATATTTTATACTCCATTTTGTGTAGTTGAATTTTTTTAGTCTCGTGTTAGTCAAATTTTTTTACACAAGGAAACCCAGTGAGTAGTAAAGAAAAAAGAAAAGTAAATAGAGCAAATGGGGAAACGGTGTGATATTTAAAACAAGAGTTTATCATCATGGGTTGAATGTGTAATGATGAAAAAAGTGGGCACAAAAAGATATATACGAAGGAAACTGAAGGATTATGATTAGTTTTTAACCAATACTTAAAAGAGAAAAAGAGTTATTTATTGCAGAGATTTATTGACAGCTATGCATAAAGACGGTGGTGATTATTGGTTCGTTTTTGTCCGTCCAGCAATATTGTCTTACAAAAACCGGCTTTCAGTCAACAAGCATTTTATTTATTTAATTTCAAACTTATTATGAGTTTCATTTTTCCTTACGTCCTCATCATATTGAAACTTATACAACGATGGGAACCAATTTACGATTATAACTTTTTTATCAAAAAGAATAATTTAAGATTATAAATTTTTCATCTGAGGTCCAAAAAGACCGAATGCATAAATATAAGTTGGCAACCATATTAACACATATATTTTTTTACTTCATATAACCAAGTGGCAAATGCACATGATACATGGTGGGTGTAGCTGCCACCATCAAATTTTGAGATTTACATGTAAATTTGGGTTTTTACTCATACATATATATGGCATCATGAAAGCTTTTTATAGATGCGATTGTGTTCCAATTACATAGTTTTATATAACAGTGAAAGAAGAAAAACTGAATTTCCACTTAAAAGTTAGAATGTTTCTTTTAAAAAAAAATTTTGTACTACAATGAACATACTATTAAACCCAATTATTTTCATTGTAGCAGAAAGATTCGAGTTCCGATTGTGTCGATTTGGGTAGATTTATGAATACTAGTAAATTATATATGATCATTTCCAGGGTTGAAATGTTTATGAATGTAAATTATGTGCTGTTAATTTTTAAATAATAGTATAAGATATTAAAAGATGTTGAGATAGCTTTTTTAAAACACACCTATATTATTTTGTACTTTAGGATGTTATTAGTTTTTTTTTTTTTTAAGGATGAGAGGTAAACCGTAACTAGGTGGAGATGAGGATCAACTTTTCTTTTTGGAACGTAATTTTGGAGTTCAGTGGCGGGTGACTTACGTATTAAACGAAATTACTATATTGACCCTAACGTGGATCCCATTGACCCTTTAATCATTGAGGGTTTTTAGCTAATAAAATTTTCTAAGCTCAATATTTAAATTGATCATTAATAAATTAATCCATCCTGATTACTGATCTGGATTTGTCCCCCCGCTCACATTCACATATACAAATTATTCTAATCTCAACAAGTACTGATCGCCCACACTCTATAAACACGGGCTTGGTTTCAAATCAAACCAGAGATATGATGATTTTTATTAAATTATTATTATAACCTAAACTTAAGCAATAAAATAATAAATTATAAATGTCAAGGATGAGGGGATGTTAGACAGAAGTAGTTAGATGTGAGTCACTTTCGGGATTGAAGTAAATGGTCACCATTTCCCGTTGAGGCCATACATAGCCTCCGTTATTATATATTTTTTTTTTAAAATTTTTTTTATGGATTTTTGTATCATATTGAACCGATTTGACGGTCGTTATTTAACGTAATTAACTAGATCAAAAATGTAAACACTTTAAACATGACGAACAAAACAATCAAATTCAATAACTAAGAAAATATTAATTTCTCCAATGGTTGTTTTCACCTACAAAAATTTCCATCTTGTTTGAGAATAAATTAATTTTAGGCCAAGCCTAGTATATATAAAGAACCAATATATTAGGGTTGCGAGTTGCGATATATAACAAAAGGACACACATTGTAAAAATCTACTAAAAGTGTGACACAGATAAGACACATAATTCAAACAACATTAATCGAACCAAAGCCTGTCAACACAATTTTGAGATTAGTGACGATCAAACTCTTCACGACCTTCATATCTTGCAAATTCTGCAGTTACAATAACCTTAGACTCTTAGTATATCAATTTTTGTTTGTTTTAACGATTATTTTATTATTATAAGAGATTAATCAATTTTCTGTTTTTTGTGCTTTTAGTAGGTTATTCAAATATATACTTTATTATATTCTACAATGTATAATATATGAATTTATTAACACGGTTATATATAGTTTTGAAGTTATAGTAAAATGTAAATTATCAAAGGCAGGAAAATTTGTATCTAATGCTAGTTAAGCTATCAACATAGCGTACATTGTATATAAACGTTTGGAAGAAATTTACATCAGGATAGTAAATGTTTTTTTTTTCATGATAGTAAATGTTTTTTTTTTTATAGCGTTAGATTTAATTTGGGATATTTAATAAAATTACACGAAAATGTATTGAAGGTGATATCAGGGACCATTCTTTTGGTAGCTCCTATAAGCATTGTATATTATTTTCTTACAAAACTATATAATAGCCACTCGATTCTCGCATGGCTCTACCCTGAACGTTACAATGTTCATCTTATACTACTACTAAATAAATAAAAAAGTAAAGTTTATCATGGGTCTTTTTCTTAGATGCACTTCAGAGTTGAAAACGACCATTATGTTAACGGGTCTCAACTCTCAAGAGATAGTTATTAGTATTATTATTATTATTATTATTTTTATATAACAATCCGCCTCTGATAGTATTACGAACCATTAAACTATATATATATATATATATATATATAATGTTATTTTGTGTATACACTGTTTTGTGAAAGATGTTTGTCAAAGAAAAAAGTAGTGTTTTCCAACGAAAGAAAAGAGTGGTGTCTTTTTTTTTCTTTCAGATAAGGTAAAATGTTGTAAAATAAATTCAAGCAAAGAATGAATAAAAGAAAATACCAGTATACTCTCTGGATCAAAGTACCTGTGATTTTTTAACACCAAACATTCATAAAATTTATTTGTAAATGGTAACCCACACGCTGAATATACATTATATATAGATATTCATTTGACTACTATGATTTACATTTTTCAAACACTAGTACTGAGTACCATTTGTATTGGCGGAAGTCATTAATAATGGTAAGTTTACAATTCTGTTGGGAATTTATATTTTTACAAATGACAATCCAAGAACTTTGTAAGAAACTCAAAAATAAATAAAATTAATAGACATTAGTGGCAAAAAGGATTATAAAACCCATCATATTAAAGTAATTCAATTATTGATGGGCCAGGGTAAATTTAAGGTGGAAAAAAAAAATAAGAAGAAAATGCAAGTGGTTTGAGCGAGGAGCCATGGACCCATTTAAAAGAAGAAGTTACTGCAGAAATTACTATAAAAAAATGAAAAAAATGTGTGTGATTTGATCTTTTACACCTATATAGATGGCATTAAAGAGTTACCAGTCTACTATTGTTTTAGAGTTTTTGTTTAGCTTAGCAGACAATTTTAAGATCAGCTTACCATCATTACTCGCACGGAAAATCACACATACACACACACAAATATGTGTGTGCACGGAAAATCACACTTACACACGCACACACTGTATATACACGAATATGTGTGTCAGTGTGTTCCGAACTATTTAATCTACTCGAAGCATCTGTCTCATTTTCCAACGGGGCACTAATATACAAGATATCATCTCGTGTTATGTTTTTTTATTGCATGCAAATAACTCCGGATATTAGGAACTAGTATATATTTTTTTTGCTAAATATATTAGGAACTATTTTATGCAAAAAAAAAACATAGTTTATGCAAACTATCACCTGATATGTCGTGGTTAGTAAATAAGTTTTAAAAAATTCTTATGTTAATGTCATCAATAACTACAAAGAATTGTCAATTGCAACAAATATAATAAACGACGATAGTTTAGAATTACATGTTAGAATTAACGAAAACATAAACACTGCTGATTTTCTTCTTTATATGATGTTAACAAAATAACGAAATGTGAATTGTGAAATCAAATATATGAGTTATAATTACTTTTAATTTCTCATGGAAACTAACATATTAATATATAACGATAGTAGAATTAAAAGTAATTGTATATGCTAGTAGACATTTACATTTTTTAGAAAATTACTGAGCTAGCTATCGTTTCTTTTTCTTTTCTCTATTCTTGATTATGCTATTTGTCTAAATAAGTTTTTTTCTCTTCTTCCAAATATCGTTTATAAAAAAAAATTCCATATATATAATATATTTTGATTATGAGGTTTTTCGGCCGAAATTTATACATATTCTCTTACGAGGTTAAAACATGCATGTTATACATAGTCCGTAGTAAATAGCATCTAGAATATATGAATGTTTAGATCAAGAATATAAAAGCTCTTCTTCTATAAATCCTTAAGAAACTCACTCAAAATCTAAAGTTCTTAATCTCTCTCAAAACACACATAAAGATTACCATAGCTTTGGTATCTCTTATATAGAGAGGAGATAAACACATCCTAATCCTAATGGATAAACACTTAATATTCTTAGATAACTCCTAACAACTTTCTAGATAACTCCTAGATAGAAACTTTCCTTATCCTAAACTCTTTCCTAAATCCTTTAGGAAATCAAGCTTATTCAACATTCTCCCCCTTAAGCTTGAAATCTTCTTTTGACAAGTCTTGAACTCCAATAAACTCCCTCATTTCTTTGAACTTAATCCTTCTAAGTGCTTTAGTCAAAATGTCTGCCTTTTGCTCTGTTCTTGGAACATGCTCAACTTCGATCAATTCGTTTTCAACATATTCTCGTATGAAGTGATATCGCCGATGAATGTGTTTACTGCGTCCATGGAATACTGGATTTTTGGTGAGTGCTATAGCATATTTATTATCAACCCGAAGTGTTACTCTTTCTCCTGCTCTTCCAAAAATCTCGTTAAGAAGTTCCTTTAACCAAATCGCCTGTTTTGCTGCTTCCGTAGCCGCCATAAACTCTGATTCGCATGATGAGAGAGCAACAGTCTCTTGCTTCTGTGAACTCCAGCTTATCGGACATTCATTTAAATAAAAGATATGCCCTGTTGTACTCCTTCCATCATCTAAGTCTACGTTTAGACTACTGTCGCTGTATCCGATTAAACCAGACTTTGTACCTCGCTTGAAAGCCAGTCCGAACCCCAATGTTCCTTTGAGGTACCGTAAAACATGTTTCAATGCAGCCTCATGGGATACCTTTGGTTCTTGCATGTATCGGCTTAATATTCCCACGCTGTAGGAGAGATCGGGCCTTGTCTGCAACAGGTATCTAAGACACCCGATGTTCCTCCTATAATTAGTTTTGTCTACTCCTTTCTCTTCATTAGCTTTAGACAACCGGAGGCCTGGATCCATTGGTGCTTGTGTCGTATTACAGCTGCTCATCCCTGCTTCTTCGAGAATCTTTGTCGCATATCTTTCTTGTTTTAAAAGAATCCCTTCTTTGTGTTGTAGGACTTCTATTCCAAGATAATATGTAAGTAGACCAAGGTCACTCATTTCAAACTTAGTCGACATGCCTCTTTTAAACTCAAGAATTGTACTCAAGCTAGATCCTGTCACCAAAAGGTCATCGACATAGACAGCCACAAGAAGAAGATCTCTTTTGTCTTGTTTCCAGTATAAGGAGGGTTCTTTAGAACACTTCTCAAATTTCAACTCTCTTAATATCTTGTTAAGCTTGTTGTTCCATGCCCTTGGTGCCTGCTTTAAACCATACAAAGCTTTGTGTAATTTATACACCTTCTGCTCACTTCCTTTGATTTTAAAACCTTCTGGCTGAGAGACATACACTTCCTCCTTTAGTTCTCCATGTAAGAATGCAGTTTTTACATCAAGATGATGTACCTCCCATCCATTAGAAGCAGCTAAAGAGATAATAAACCTAACTGTTTCGATACGAGCCACCGGAGCAAATACTTCATCAAAATCGATTCCATGTCTTTGCACATAACCTTTTGCCACTAGCCTTGCTTTGTGCTTGTTTATACTCCCATCTGAATTTCGCTTGAGCTTAAAGACCCACTTTAGTCCAATTGGTTTTGCTCCTTTAGGAAGTTCAACCAGAGTCCAAGTCTTATTCTTTTATATCGATGATATCTCATCTTCGGAAGCTTCTCTCCAAGCTTTGATTTTGTTTGCTTCGTAGAAATCCCAAGGTTCTTCATTGATAGATAGAAGTAGGTGTTCACCTTCGATTTCTGCTAAGTAAACAAAATCTTTCAGGTATTCGGGTTTTTTACTCTATCTTGTTGATCTTCGAAGTGACTCACTTGGTTGATTTTGTTGCTGCTCCTGTTCGATGTTCTCGTCATCCCCTTGGGAGATGATTTCATCAATCTCTTCTTCTTCGTTTTCGCTTCTGTTATCTCCTTCGTCTCCTCCGTTTCCCTCCGTGTATTCCTCTGTTTCATCGGTAGAGACTTCTTCTCTTATGCCATGATTCCCAAATTCTCCAAACTCAACATAGAACATTCCTGGTTTATTGCTTTCTTTCTCTGAGTTGTTCCACTTCCAAGCTTTGTTTTCATTGAAGATAACATCTCGACTTACTATGATTTTGCGATTGGTTGGGTCTAAAAGTCGATAAGCTTTTGTTCCAGGCTCTGTTCCTAGATGCACAAGAATTCGGGATCTGTCATCAAGCTTCCTCACATGTGGTTTTTCTATTTTTGCATACGCGATACACCCAAATATTCGCAGATGTTCAATATTTGGCTTCATTCCTTTAAAAACTTCGTATGGAGTTTGCGATTCTAACGCTCGTGTCGCAACTCTATTAATAATATAGGTAGCATGTCTAACAGCTTCCCCCCAAAGATAATTTGGCACCTCCATGTGTTTTAGCAGACTTCTAGTTATCTCCATAAGCGTTCTATTTCTTCTTTCGACTACTCCATTCTGTTGGGGAGAGTATGGAGCTGTTAGATGCATGTTAATGCCTGAGATCTCGCAGAACTGTTGTAAATCTTGAGATAGAAACTCTCCACCTCTGTCTGTACGAAGTGTCTTGATGCGTACTCCTGTTTCTTGCTCAACAATGGATTTAAATCCTTTAAATCTCTCAAAGGCATCACTCTTTTCCTTCAGTAAAAGCGTCCACATGTATCGGGAGTGATCATCAACTAGTACAAATATGTACTTCTTCTGTGCTGCAGTGGCTGGTGTGATCGGTCCACATAAATCTCCGTGTATTAGTTCAAGTGTTCTTGTGGCTCGATATGTAGTTGCCTTTGGGAAGCTTCTCCGAGTTTGTTTCCCAAGAAGACATGAGACACAAGTTTCCTATTCTTTTGGAACACCTGTTATACCGATTACAAGTTCTTTCTTCACCATCATCTTTATTGTTTCAGTGTTGATGTGTCCTAGACGAGGATGCCACTTAGGATCGTTGGTCGCCGTTATCTGTAAGCATCTGGTCATATCCACCTCCATCTTGACTTTGTACAGCCTATTTCTAGCTCTGTTGCTCGTACCAATAGTTGTCCGTCTTTGTCGAGCAATACTAAGTAGTCCTCTTTCATTCTTACTTCACATCCACATTCTGTAGCTTGACCAAGGCTTATGATATTACTTCTTAATTCGGTATGAAGTAGACATTAGTTAAGGTCTTCTTCCCTCCTTTCTTGCTGAGAAAAACGATGGATCCTTTGCCTTTGATGTCGATATGTGAATCATCTCCGAACCTCACTTTTCCTGTGATAGTCTCATCAATGCTTGAGAAACATTGTCGATTTCCTGTCATGTGGTTTGATGCGCCGTTGTCTAGATACCACATATCATCTGAGCAAGCGTCGAACCTATCTGGTGTTACCATTTTCTCGTTTAGAAAGACTACTTCATGCATCATAAGCTTCTCAGCTTCTTGTGAATCATCCTCCTTAGTTTCTTCTGTTGCTTCTGTCTTTAGTAGCCTGTCTGGACATGACGAGGCATAGTGCCCCGTTTTGTCGCAGCGATAACATACAACTTTAGATAGATCTCTAGGTTCGTACGACCTTCCTCGTCCTCTTCCTCTACCATAGAAGCGTCCTCCACGGCCTCTGCCTCTATATTCATTATTTTGGTTACGGTTCGCCTGAGTATCTGTATTTGCATACATCAACTTGCTCTGATCATCTGAAGATTCCTCTGTTTCTTCATATATTCGTTCTTCGTATGCTTTTAGTCGACCGACGATGTCTTCGAAGCTTGTAGTATTTAGGTCGAGTACCTGTTCAAGCGATGCAACGATATGGATATACTTCTTTCGAGGTATACTTTTAAGGAACTTTTTCACTAGTTTTGATTCTTCAATGCTGGTTCCCAAAGCGGCTGACTTTGAACATATCTCAGACAATTTACCACTGAAATCATCGATAGTCTCTGTCTCTTTCATCTTCAATCGATCGAATTCAGCCATCAAGGTCTGTAATCGTGCTTCGCGAACTCTCTCTGCTCCAACATGTCGACCTTGAATTGCATTCCACATCTTCTTTGCGGTGTCGAGCTCGCCAACTTGTAAGATAAGTGATTCTGGGATTGATTGGAAAATTAATCCCATGGCTAAATCGTTCTTCTCTCCGTCGGTGGACTCTGTCTCGATGATATCCCATACTTTGTGGATTTTGAGAAGTACTCGCATTCTCATTGCCCACACAGTATAGTTAGTCGAGGTTAGCATAGGACATTGTATCGACGATGTACTCATCCCTTTGACTTGCGATGCTGGTACGATGTCCCCCATGATCTTCGTAAAAGCGATATTTCTCCAAAGCTCTGATACCAAATCTAGAATATATGAATGTTTAGATCAAGAATATAAAAGCTCTTCTTCTATAAATCCTTAGGAAACTCACTCAAAACCTAAAGTTCTTAATCTCTCTCAAAACACACATAAAGATTACCACAGCTTTGGTATCTCTTATATAGAGAGGAGATAAACACATCCTAATCCTAATGGATAAACACTTAACATTCTTAGATAACTCCTAAGAACTTTCTAGATAACTCCTAGATAGAAACTTTTCTTATCCTAAACTCTTTCCTAAATTCTTTAGGAAATCAAGCTTATTCAACATAACATTCTATCTTAATCTTCCTTTTCGGTAGTTAATTTATTTTATGTTTTTTTTTCTTCACATAGCATGAGTATAGAACGGCGGATTTTGTATTCATTCATGTGAGGTTTGCTTCGCTGTCGTTATTTTGCATTCTCACTTTTATATTAACCCTTATTATGGTTCGTCTATCAACTATGATTATGAATTATACGGTTTAGGTGCGGTTCTTTTCGATTTATATTACCCAAAAATTCTTAGTTGAATTAGAATTGAAATTATGTGGTTCGACTAGCTTAATGGATAACTACCACTAAACCTAGATACAATGTGAATGTGAATGGATTGTTTAAGAACTCATGGGGATGATTAAAATGTCTACATCAGTCTGTAGATAATTATTACATGGTCTACCTAATATCATGGAGAAAAATGAATATAATAGTTTGTACAAAACAGAAAAATATAATTTAAATATGGAATTGCATTACTTGAGGATTCATAAATCACCCGGAGAATAAAAAATATATTTGTCTAGTTTAACGAAACGAATAAAATAAATAAACAGACTTTGCTGCCAGAAGATTGAAAATTATACGTGTGTAAGGCTACAAATTAATTAAGTCAGAGTAGAAATTGCTCTAAAATATCAAACGATTAAATTTTCAACAAGTGAGAAAGAGGGTTCCCTTCTTTTTTTGGGTGTAAATGCTTTGAAAGTTTCTTTTTTTGGGTGTAAATGTTAAAGCAACAAGTGATATAAAAAGTTTGATACAAGTGTGGGTCCACATCAAGGATTCATTAAGAACTTCAAAAGGGTAAATATTGGGATTAATTAATTTGGTAGATCCCTATATAAATCAAGAGGCCATATATATAATATATATAAATTTTAAAACAACCTTGTTATCTTCAACGTCCGTGAATTTAGGACGGAAGAAATATTTTGAGATTCAAATTCACGATGAATATTGAATCATAGAGTGTGTGGTATAGTTTGATTAATAAAATGATATATGTGTAGATGTGAATTTGGTAATAGTAAAGGAGAGGCTAGGGGGTGTAAAAGGAATGGGGGTAAATAAAAGGGAAATTAGGGGAAAATAAGGAGTATAAACGGAAATATAGAAAGATCACATGGACATGGGAAGGGGAAGGCATGTGGGTTATGAATTATCTACGCCACTTTGATCTTCCCATGTGGTTTTACCTCTTAGTTTATCTGTCTCCAGCTCACCTTTTACTCTATTTATTTTTCCTATTTTTTTCTCATATTTCTTTTTTTGTTTGTGTACTGTGTATTATTATAGCCTCTGATCCTGTAGCTTAAAAGTTCGATACCGATTTTATTTGAAGCAAAAAAAATAATAATATTCAGGTGATGTACAATGAACTTTAAAGTGGCCAACGTCAAGTAAAAACTTTTTTTTAAGGTACAAGTTAAGCAAACACTGTCAAAATGTTAATCAACAATTCTAGCTTCAAATTCAATATAACATTCAGACCATTTTTTTTAATTACGTCGTCTTTTAATGAATAAACCTTCCCTTTTGTAATGATAATATGGGAAAAGGAAATGAAAAGAAAAAAGGCAAAACAATTTTGAAAGATAAAAAAGAGAGGAGAGGCTCTTGTGAATAAGGAAAGGGCAAAAGAGGTGAAAAGAGGGGGAAAACAAAGGCCACTTCAATCTTCTTTTTGAGAATTTCGATCACACATTTCATATTTTACCCTTTTTTCCCAATATTGGATATTGCATATAAAAAATTTAGTGTTATTTGGTTGAGTGTAAAATTAGGTTTTTCTTCATTATCGACCCAAAATTTAAAGCAAGTCGAGAAATTTTGTCTAATTGAAACTATCTAATAGACATTTCTAAAAATGTTCAGATGTAAGTGTAATATATGGGAGTGATCAGCGATATAAACCTTCGTTTGAATATTAAAAAAAAAAAACACCTTCGTTTGTACCTTCTTATAAAATTCTAAACAAATGTTTTGAAAAATGTAATCCAGTAAGTTTATCGGTGAGGCCTATATAGTCTATTGGGCCTTGGCCCATATAATTTAAAAATCTTATTTCGGGAACGAAACTTTTTAAGTTTCTGCTTTTAAATTTGGGAAATAGCGGAGTGGGATCCCTTTAGAGTCTGTGACTTGTTACGATTCATCGGTACAGAAACCCTCGGAGAAGTTTACACAATGTCCAGCGAGGAGGATGCCACCGTCAGGGAGCCTCTAGATCTGATCCGTCTGAGTCTTGACGAGAGAATCTATGTCAAGCTCCGCTCAGACCGCGAACTTCGCGGCAAGCTTCACGTAAGTTTTCTCTTTGCGCTCTTCGTGTGTGAATCTAGTAGATTTTGCTTTTTGTAACACTTTGAAGCTCCTTTCGCAAGCAAGTTCGTCTTAATTTTGTAACTTATTTTGCTGATTTCACTGACTCATGTCGAATTTGGGAGTTTTATTTTGGGGGAATGTCTAGGGTTTTCCTTATGAAGTTTAATTTTTTTTTATATAAGAAAGGTCTCTTGAGCTATGGCGATTAGCTGTAATTGGGAATTTTGGGTTGTAATGTTTGGGTAGAGGAAACCTCAATTTCGAGAAAGTTAGTAAATTTTAAACGATTTCGACACTCTTTAAGTTATCCACTTTGATTTTTTTGTTTGTTTGTTTGTTTCTCCGAGCAGGCGTTTGATCAGCATTTGAATATGATTCTGGGTGATGTTGAAGAAGTGATCACAACAGTAGAAATCGATGACGAGACATATGAAGAGATTGTCCGGGTACGTGCTTATTGGTGACTCAAATAGAATTTGTGTTTTAGTTGGTTATGGTTTTTGATGTATAGGACAAGTGAGGAATATCTCAGGTTAAGGACAATGTTAGAGAACAAGTGCCTTTTAGCTTTCTCATTCATATCGCGTATATACAAGTCTCAACTCGATGAGTATCTGTAGTTCATTTACGTAGCTGCTCGAATTGAGTCGCATTGTAGATATAAGAACTGGTTATAGCTCTGAATGATAAGCTGATAGATCAAAATCAGGAGATAATTTCCATGGAAACTGACTGTTTCTGGTAGTGAAGTCTCTCTTTAAGCTTCTCTGGTGTGCTAGTTTCTGATCTTATTAGGATTAAGTGTGTTTATTGTCTCTACTGTAATATGATTGTTTTTTTTTTACGATATGTGATTGCAGACGACAAAGCGCAACATTCAGTTTCTGTTTGTGAGAGGAGATGGAGTGATATTAGTGTCGCCGCCGCTGAGGGCACCCTGAGTGAAGATCAAATCTAAATCCTAAGCTAAGGAAATGTTTTTAAAACAAAACTCTCTTAGTGATCCTCTTCTCTATGTGGTCTTTGGGACTATTGGTGTATTTTAGTCACTTGTTGTCTAAACTCAAGAAGCCTGAAGAAGCTATGTTGTTCACTTGCTTGTTTTCAATCTACTTTCGGATATTTTTTCCTCTCAATTCGTGTGATTATTCTTAATTACAACCCTATTACCTGAGTTTACAAACAGAGATATAGGTTCTGAAGAAGAGCAACAAACAAGACAAATACATACAGTCAAAACGAAAGAATCATGATCATTTACTACGTACAAAGAAAAGGAGACAGAAGTTGTTTTTTTCATCTTCGTCTAGGTCGGGATTGAATCGGAGAACCTGATGATTGTGAGCCTCTGTAGTTTCTGCTTGGAGAATCCATTGATCCTCTGTACGCAGCTTTGGGTAATGGAGGCGTTGGCTCTACTGGGATTGACTCGGCAAAACATGCTGTGTTCACACGAGTTCTCTCCAATTCTGCTTGTAGTAATTCGCTTGAATACTGCTTCGTCAAAGCCTGTTTGCGGAAAAAAAAAAAACAAAAGAATGATTTGAAGATTGTGAGGTTTTGAAATTTGATTAAAAATTTGTTTCAACGAGAAGGAAGAAATTATCCTTACGAGGAGGTCATCTGCTGAAACAGATGATCCTTGTTTGTCATCTGAAACTGTGTCTTCGCTGCCACGAGTTGGTCTGCGATTATGCCCCGGGGTGGTCTCAACTGCTTCACTGATGCCCTCTATAGCTATCTCCAACACGGTTCCTTGTAGAGATTTAAGAGACGCGGTTGCATCGCTTGTAAAATATAGATTCAGTACTGTCTCAAAATACTCAAGCTGCAACAGTTGTTGTGAAAACAGAATTACGAAATCATAAGATTCTACTAAGCTTTTCTGCTATCTTTAAGATAGTAACTAGTCACTTTTTAAAGCTTTGTTTCTCATTCTAAAGAAGTTCCAGCTTAACTTAGTCAGGATCTCTTATGGTGAGAAGAACAAAATGTTACCTCAAACATTAGTTGGCAGAAACCATTTGCATCGATCGATCTTAAATCATTTGATCTGTTTTCTTCCACCAGACTGAGAAAAGTGTCGATTAGACCTTCGATCAGAACGCCAAGAATCTTGTCCAGCAGGGGTTTTGCACCCGCAAAGACCTGCAGTTTTTTAATTTCCAGAACAAATTATTAGGGTTCGCAATAAGGTTTAAAGAACCAAAAAATCATCACTTTAATTTCTGAATATAAAGCGCACTACCTCTGCATGGACAGCTACAAGAGTGTGCAAGAGCTCAACAGCAGCATCTCGTATGCCCTAAAAAGATTCGATCACATATTTAAGTAATTCTCTTCTTCATAGAAATGAAGACGTTAATAGTTATCATTACGCAGAGATTTCTTACTTTCACTTGAGGTGCCGATCCCCATTGAATACCAGAGTCCAGCAAGTAATTCGTGGCAGATGTTCTGATCAAATTTGCCTGAGTACATGTAAAATTCTCGGAAATTTCAGTTCCATATCTAACACGTAGCAAAAGCATTTTTAGACTAACCTGGACGAAAAGACAATACCTTAGCAAAAGTATAATGCTCGAGGACCTTCTCTCCAAGACCAGAGAAAGACATAATTAGATCTTGAAGATCACTGCTGTCTTCATCTTTGTCCCTGGAAAAATGAAAATGAATCAAGTCTTACTCTAGAACGTTAACACCATACATAAAGTCACCCATGTGGGGCAAGTTTTGGATTATGAAACAGATCGAATTCAACCATTGATGCTTATTATCCAGTTTAAGTCACTTAACCATAAACGGGTATGCCCCACTTGTCTACTTCTTAGTGAAGAGGTAGATAATCATTGACGTCTAGAAAATCACTAATGACGTCAAGTAAGTAAGGACCAACCTAAACTGTAACCAGGTGTATTTGAACTTGTTGTAAAGCTCTGAAGCAAGTTCATCTTTGCAATAACCTATATTACTTAGGACCATCAACAACCGCCTGTGAGGATCGACAACACTTCCGTAGGTGTTGACTGATTGTTCTTCCTGATGATCATCAGAATATCCGTTTTTCCAATTCTCTCGCGTTGAGATGCTTTGGGAAAGATCAGCACCAATTTGATCCAGGTGAGCTGATACATGGGAAGGAAAAAAAAATTTAGCACATCACTTAATAACTGTACAGTATGTGCATTTCCTGCATCCATGTGTCTGTTTATGAGAATATGCGGGCATTTGCATGTGGATTTTATTACGGAATTATGGTAAAAAGTCGCACCAGCAAAATCTAGAAAGCTGTTCAAAAAAGCCAGTCTAACAGATATCAGGATTTCTTCAATCTGGGCAAACATATCTTCTGATTTGGCAGCTTCACCTTTGACAGAAAAAATCATCCTGAAAAACGAGACACAAAGATCAATGAAGTAAACACTGTAGTAATAACAAGGAAATTAAAAGTGCACATTTGTGTATCCAGCTTCCTGAATAGCAATGAAAAAGCATATAAAGCCCATTTACTATAATATCACATGGCACACAAGTCAATTTAGTTCACATGCCACAAAATAAAGTTGGTATGGACAAGGTAGAACCAGAACTAGTCACTTTTGAAATTTTGTTTTCTCTAATGTACAGGGAGAAGACTGAACAAGGTATTTTACTGGAAATATAGATATCTGGAACTCCGAATACAAAAAATAGCAAAACAGGGTATAAATAAAGAGCAAGAATGCATTCTCTCTATTTGTAGTATATCAGACAATGCAACTGTTTAGTATAAGTTTACCAAAATACACTTGAAACTTACAGATTGATTTGTTCCATCCCAGAGACAATAACTGAACGGAATGCAAGAGGCAAGTAAGAGATGGCATATGGAGATTTATTCCTTTCAAGAATAGAAACTGGTATCCACGTCTCCTCTTTAGATATTCCTTCTGTGGATGCCCTCATCCAGGAGCAGAGCCTTTGGATATAAATCTTAGTGATTTCCGCCTGGATTTTTCTTAGTGCGATGACTGCCATAACCAAAAAGCATATACATCATCTCCGTATACTTTAAATTACACAACAAGCTCAAGCTTCAGAAGAAGTTCTAATACCAGCACTATGAGGCGCTGACTCTTTGGCTTCAAAAGCTTGGCATGCTTTTGATACTTCGTTGATGGCATCACTCATAAATCGGCGGAGAATGCATGATTCATCAAAATCACAGAATGTGCTGTGCACCTACAACAGCAGTAATCATGAAAAGAAAATATTTAGAACCACTTTATGGCACATATACCACGGGGTTTTATGTTCCAATATGAAGAGAAGCTCCACTGGAGTCATTTAACAGAAAAAGGAAAAAAGATACCACCTTTTCTTCATAGACAGAAATAGTCTTGCGTATCATCCCAGCAACTTCTTCCAAAGAGTGAGTTGAATACCTTGCCTCTGTCACCTTCTCCTCAGCTTTATTGGCTGAAGTATCACTTACTGAGGACTGAACAGATAAGTATTTATATTCAAATCCACAGCATAAGGAATAATAACTACAGAATCAATCTACTCTTAGGCAGCATAGGTATATAAGCAGAAAGGATGGCTGAAACCTTGGCAAATTTTCCACTGAAAACCGATAGAGCTGTTTTCCAAAACATAGGGATATGAAGCACAAGCACAGCAGTCAATCTTTTGATGTATCTTCCCTTCAAAGCATCAATCTCTTCGTTGGGAAACTCCACTGATTGAAGGTCAACTTGAGCTTCATTATTTTCAATAGAAGAGGCAGCATCTGACTAAAGGATTGAGAAAAACACATGTTTTCATCTATAGAAGTGAATCCCAAATAGCCTTCTAATGATACATATAGCTATTCTCAATGTTGGACTCACATATGGAACGATGTTTTGTTGAATTTGTTGCCACTTTGCATCCGAGATGGCTCTCTCATAGGTCTCATTGCGCAAAATTTCGACCCTTGCTTCATGATCATATGTACACTTCTCAAGCAAGCCGTGGATTCTACGATTCTGGTATATTAAAGAGCCAAGAAAGATGTCGTTATGGAGATAACACAACGATTGCAACAAAAATTGTGAGAGTCACACACACAAGTTATGTGTGTGTTTCCCAATACTATAGAGATGCTAACTTGAAAGTAGAGTCAGAAATAATAAAGGAAACAAAATGAATGATTTTATAAGCTATACGTCACTGTGATGCTCAAAGCAAATCTATAAGAACCCAGATACTACGCAAAACAAAGCAAGAAGGAAGTAAAAGAGTGACATCTTCAAATATACCAACCTGAACATTTAGATAATGCCAAACAGGATCAGATTCCGGTTCCAGCTCCAGCAAAAGCCTCACAGTGTTTTCCAGCTAAAATTAAGCAAAAGTAATTTGGAGTGTCAAGCCTGGTTTCTCAAAGTTTCCAAGAGGAAGTATGAAAGATTTCAAAGTAGTTGTACAATTATGCAGAAATCAAGTAACCACGGAAAAAATGTAGTAATTTTTTTTGGGGGGGGGGGTGGGGGGCAGAAAATTTTGTCACTTTTATGAACAAAAACTGGAAATGGAAGTTAAAATAGATGACAGCAGATAAGATGAAGAAGAGACTGAAAATTGACTTGATAGCAATATTACGCATTTGGTGAATATTTGAATGAAGGATTGTTCAGTTCAATTACTAATTGACACTAGATTATAAAGAAAAATAACAGACATACACTTGTAAAGTCTATTTTTGGATCTTCCATAGACTTGTAAAGAGTGGCTTTGAATTCCAGCATAACTTTGTCAACCTCCTCGAGTACACGCTTGAGTAAATTTACCTGAAAGCAGCGCGTTTACAAATGTTGTCAAGAGCTTTGTTATGCAAGTAAATTAAACCGTAATGAAAAAAAGAATTCAGCGCTTATTGGAAAGTTGGATAGCATCTGTCTCAAAAGAGTGTGATAGAAAATTTAGGCATACATGAGAAGGGAGAGCAATAGATTTCGCCTTCTTGTATTCTCGAACAGCCAAATCATATTCACCCTTGCTAATACTATTACGAATGATACTTGGTAAGTTGAAGAGTGTCCGGAACCTCTGAAGCATTCCTTGTACAGACCTGATTTTCTCAGCTTGAGCCTAAAAATGATTGCGAAGAAGGCATCAAAAAACTGAAAGAGAGTGATAGCAAAAATCCAAAATCAGAGCACACCAACCTGTCTCTCAAAAAGAGGCTCAAATGCAAGATTTGCCCTTGATGTCACACTTTTCATACAATTGAACAAATGAGTAGTTCCTGACCCTTCTGGGTCTTCTTCAATCCGCTTCAGTTTTGACTCAATATCTATAAAGCAAACCAATAGTCTAGACATCAACATGATAGAAGTAAAACTCATATAATAATCCAATAAGTGCAGTAATACATACCATCAATTGTTGTTTTACATGAGACGAAGCAGTCAAAATTGTCTTTTACCAATTGTTTCCTTTGCAAATTTCGACCCTTTAAGTCACTTTTAAGGCCAAGGGCACCAGCCTCGAGATCTGCTGCACTTGTGTCTTGGTGAATGCGAGAAAGAAACAACTTCGGATCGAAATGATCAGAGAAGTAAATCAATTTTTCTGGAAATATTCCAAAGAGAATATATAGCATTTAGAAAAATTGAACATTGTGCATCTGGAAAAATCAAATTTTCTTGTAAGAGCAATGATTGAACTCGAGTTGTAGGTGTTCCAAGGATTGACATACCCCGAAGTGTATTATCCACTTTCTCAGCTTTTGATGGGCTGCCTGATGACTCGGTGATTAACCTCAGTGTCTTGTTGTCTATTATCCTATATAGTACACAGAGTCATGTATATCGATAAGTTCCACCATATTAAAGTCGGAAACTAAAGTATTAGACTAGGCTTTCAAGGTCAGCAAACACAAAAGAGAGCAAGTACCCTAATTTTAACGGATCAATGCATTCCATCCCACGAGGGAATGACTGCAAACTAGTCAGAACCACTTTCTTGCCAGGTGCAGGTACCTTATCCTCTAATTTCTGAACCACGGGTGCAGTTCTTGATTCCCGCATATCACGAACCCTACGGGCAAGCTGCGAAAAAAATGTCATCGGAATTAAAGTGTAATAATGGACATGTTTCCAAATAAATCCACATGATGCTATGTTTTCAACTTGTAACATCACACTAATGGCGTTGAGTTTGGCTTGCTAATTCTCATACTCTGGAAACAAAAGATAACCATCACACTAATCCACTAATGGTATGTCGTACAATTCAACAAATCGATCAAATTTCAAACACTCGAACTTGACGGAATAAGCAACAACAACAACAAGCACAAATTCCAGGCAAAAAACGAAGAAGAAAGAATTCGAGCGTTGATGTTGCCAAGACAAAAATCGAGAGAGACGTACCTCAGCTTCATTAACCCGTTTCCAACAATCGGGCTCCTCTCCATCCCAAGCTGCATCATCCTCCTTCCTGGCGGCTCTTCCTCTCTCCCGGACATCGCTGGCTCTTCCTTTCCCGGCGGAAACAGCACCCTTGTCCCGTTCCCTCTCAAGATCATCATCCCCGCTCGAAATGCTGAGAAGCTCCACCTCCGACTCATCGTCCTCGTCCATGGAAGGTTTCCGAACAGCCGCCGCCGCAGGCTTCTTCGGCTGCTGCACGAAATTAGCAACAGGCTTACGAGCAGAGGCGGAAGGAGGCTTCTGGTAAGTAAGATCTCTCTGAGCCTGCTCCTTCAACGCCATTTGAAGAAGCTCATCTTCGTCCAGATCGTTGCTGTCGCTAGACATGATTCGGTGTGATCAGGTGATCGTCAGTCTCTGAGCTATCGTAGAGAGATCTGAGGAGCTTTACAATTTTTTGAATTTTTTTCGATTTGGAGATTTCAGTTTGTGTGATTTTCAGCTTGTTTCCAGAAATATGAATTTTAAGATTATAAAACGAAAAATAGAAGGTTGGTTATACAGGGGAAAAATCAAAAAGATGGCGATGATAAGAAATATCTTCCGGTCTGTCGGTCTGAGATGAGACGGAATAATTTGGACGGAAGAAGAAATAAATACTTTCTTCTCTTCGTCACTGACCGACACTTGTATTGTATGGCTTAAACATCACTCTTTTTTTTTTTCTTTCGTTTTTTTCTCAATTATTTTGCAAACTCTCACTCAATTCTCAAAGTTCTTTGGTTGTGAGGATAGCAATAAATAATTCAGGTTTTGACAAGTTACAAATAACATGTTTTTCTCTGATTGTACCTTTCCGCCATATTGGCTGACTAACACCTTGTATTCTGATTACATTCAATCAAATTAATAAAGTATGTTTTGACGAAAAAAAAAAAAAAAAAGACAAGTTATGAACTCATGATTTCTGGATGAGCTGTGATGCAACCACTATTATGAATAATATAAGCCAATGTCTTCTGGCTAATGCATATATGCAAATCAGCAAATGGTTGGTCTCGACTTCAAACGGTATCAAGAGGCTCTCGGACAACAACTTATCGCCTTAATTTTTTTTTTAAATACTACTAATTCCAATTTTTTTGTTATTTGATAAAATAGAATAAAAAAACAAATTCACAACATTTACGACACACAAAAAAAAAAATCTAATTTATCGAGAAAAAAAGAAAGAAAAAAATTAACCAGCGTTTACAAAACTAATCGGTAAGTGTAGAGACAGCAGCGTTTTATTAAATTTGGTAGGCACAACCCTAGGGAAGCTTCACGCCGGTTTCACAAACCAGAGCTTCGCTATTCCTTGTTTCTACTATTCCTCTCTGCGCCGCGCTTTCTCTCTGAAACTCGATAACCCTAACGATTAATCGATAAAGGTAAAAAAGCTTCTTCGATTCTTCTCTTAGACACACAGTATTGCTTTCTCTTCTTCCGGCTGAGTTCTTCTCCGATCTCAAAGATTGATTGATTGAACCTAAAAAATTGATTCCGTTCGATTGTAGAAAATTCACCTCGATTATTCGTAAGAGTTAAAACCGGCCCGGAAAAATTTATCAATGGGTCGGAAGAAGCCGAGTGCTCGAGGTGGTGACGATGAGCAACAACCCCCTGCGTCATCTCTCGTTGGTGCTGCTAAATCTAAGAAGAAAGCCGTTCAGATTGATGACGATGAGTATTCCATAGGTACTGAGCTTTCCGAGGAGCCTAAAGCTGAGGAAGACAAGGTTGTTATCACTGGGAAGAAGAAGGGTAAGAAAGGTAATAAGAAGGCTACGCAGCAGGATGATGATGATGATTTTTCTGAGAAGTTTGCTGCTGAGGAAGACGATGTCCCGGAGATTGCTTTTGCAGGGAAGAAGAAGTCTAAAGCTAAGAAGGGTGGCTCTGTTAGCTTTGCCCTCCTTGATGATGAAGATGATAAGGAGGTAGCGGAGGATAATGAATCTGACGGTGACAAAGACGACGAGCCAGTCGTTAGTTTTACGGGTAAGAAGCATGCGTCCAAGAAGGGTAATAAAGTCAGTCATTCGTTTGCGGCTTCAGCTTTTGATGCACTTGGTGGTGATGATAATGACGAGGATGAAGACGAGGAAGTGAACGGAGATGACGCTCCAATCACCTTCTCTGGTAAGAAGAAGAAATCCTCCAAATCGTCGAAGAAGAGCACTAATTTATTTAGCGCTGCTTTGCTTGATGAGGAAGAAGAGACAGATGCTTCAACCTCTAGGCCCGACGAAAATGCAATCGAAGATGAAGAGAGCCCCGAAATCACGTTTTCGGGTAAGAAGAAATCTTCTAAAAAGAAGGGCAGCAGTGTTTTGGCCTCGTTAGGTGATGACTCAATGCTAGGCAAAGAAGCTGCTGACGAAATTAGTAATACTAAAACTTCTGATACTAAGAGTGAGGAAGTTGTAGAACCTGCCAAGAGTAAGAAAAAGAAGAAGAATAATAAGAGCGGAAGGACAGTACAGGAAGAGGATGATTTAGACAAACTTCTTGCAGAACTTGGAGAAACCCCTGCTGCTGGAAAACCTGCGCCTGAAGTAGAGAAAGTTCAAGCTCAGCCTGAGCCAGTTGCATCTGTAGAGAATGCTGGTGAGAAGGAAGGAGAAGAAGAGACTGCAGCAGCGAAGAAAAAGAAAAAGAAGAAGGAAAAAGAGAAGGAAAAAAAAGCAGCAGCAGCTGCTGCTGCGGCAATCTCTTCCGGGGAGGCAAAGGAGGAAAAACAAGAAGAATCAGTAACTGAGCCACTGCAGCCGAAGAAGAAGGATGCAAAGGGTAAAGCAGCAGAGAAGAAAATTCCTAAACATGTTAGAGAGATGCAAGAGGCTCTTGCACGACGGCAAGAAGCCGAAGAAAGAAAGAAGAAGGAAGAAGAAGAGAGATTGAGAAAGGAGGAAGAGGAGCGCCTCAGGCAAGAAGAGCTTGAGAAGCAAGCTGAGGAGGCTAAGCGTAGGAGAAAGGAAAAGGAAAAGGAGAAACTGTTGAGGAAGAAGCAAGAGGGCAAGCTTCTCACAGCAAAACAAAAGGCTGAAGCTCTTAAGAGGGAGGTTTTTAAAAACCAGTTGCTGGCTGCTGGTGGAGGTCTCCCTGTTCCAGATGAAGGGGAGCCTTCCTCAAAACGTCCCGTTTATGCCAACAAGAAAAAATCAGCTCGCCAAAAAGGCAATGACTCTGCTTCTGTTCAGGTGGAAGAGGATGTAGAGCCAAAAGAGAATCATGCAGATGAACTAGATACTTCAGGTGAAGTGGGTTCAGCAGACACTGAAAAGGTTGATTTAATAGAGTCAGCAGACACAGTCCAGACGTCAGAACCTACTGATGTAGCTCAGGAGAATGGGGTTGAGGAAGATGATGTAGAAGATGAATGGGATGCAAGAAACTGGGAGGATGATGTCAGTCTTACCTTCAAAGGTGATTTTGATGATGAGGAGGAAGAACCTCAGCCTGTAGTTAAGAAAGAAATAAATGACGCTGTATCGAAGACGCATGATTCAGGTTAATATGAACTGTAGTTCTTTTTTCTTCATCCTAGTGTTTCATAGGTTGTCTGTTTCTAACTTAATCTTTTGACTTTTACACAGACCCTGAAGCTGGAAAACCAACATCTAAACCAGCAGGTATGGGCAACCCAACAGCACCTGCCACTAAAATTTTACCTGAAGCGGAAGACGCTACACGTACAAAACGTGCTACCCGGGCAAAAGATGCGTCTAAAAAGGGCAAAGGCATAGCTCTGAGTGAACCTATAGAGGGTGAAGAAAATCTCCGCTCTCCCATTTGCTGCATCATGGGTCATGTCGATACTGGTAAAACAAAGCTTTTGGATTGCATCAGAGGAACAAATGTACAAGAAGGTGAAGCTGGAGGTATAACTCAGCAGATTGGTGCAACATATTTCCCCGCAGAAAACATCCGAGAGAGGACCAGGGAACTGAAAGCAGATGCAAAACTTAAGGTGCCTGGTCTATTAGTTATTGATACTCCTGGCCACGAGTCCTTCACGAATCTGCGATCAAGGGGTTCAAGTTTGTGTGACCTTGCAATTTTGGTGGTTGACATAATGCATGGGTTAGAGCCACAAACCATAGAATCTTTAAATCTTTTAAGAATGAGGGACACAGAGTTCATTGTTGCATTGAATAAGGTGAGGCTGCTTGTCATTCTGCTAGGATGGTAGTTTTGTTCTCTGTTGTTAATTCCCGTGTGGAAAGTAAAACCTTCATCTTCCAGGTGGATAGGCTATATGGATGGAAAACATGCAAGAATGCTCCTATCGTGAAGGCAATGAAGCAGCAAACTAACGATGTTAAAAATGAATTTAACATGAGGCTTACTGGGGTGAGTCATACGTCTCTAGTCTCTTATGCATGGCTTGAGCTATCACTTGTTGTACATATGTTTCAAGTTATGGTGTTTCGTTGGTATTTCAGATTATAACCCAGTTCAAGGAGCAAGGTCTCAACACTGAGCTTTACTACAAAAATAAAGAAATGGGAGAAACTTTTAGTATTGTTCCTACTAGTGCTATTAGGTATGAGTATCTTTCTATTGTTTTCAATTTACAGCCCAACAGACAACTCATCCATCCTAAATAGTTGGTTAACTCTGGTTCTTGATATTTCAGTGGGGAAGGGATCCCAGATCTCTTGCTGTTGTTGGTTAACTGGGCACAGAAAACAATGGTTGAAAAACTTACATATGTTGACGACGTGCAGGTCTCTCTCATCTCTCTTTTAGGGAACAATCTTTTCTGCACTACTTCAGCGTGATAATTCTTACCCTATCTTGAAATGGTTGAACAGTGTACTGTCCTGGAGGTCAAGGTTATTGAAGGCCATGGTACAACGATTGATGTTGTGTTGGTAAACGGTGTACTTCATGAAGGTGATCAAATTGTCGTTTGTGGGTTACAGGCAAGTAGAAACATTATGATCTATCCAAACAAGTCATGCATTGGGTATACATAGAAATAGAACCTTGAAGAGTGATATTATCTATTCCTCTCATATTTCAGGGACCTATAGTCACAACGATTAGAGCATTACTGACTCCTCATCCAATGAAAGAGTTACGGGTGAAGGTACTTTCCGATACTTCACTTCATGTGTCTTGTTACTGTTATTCCTTCAGAAACGTGATTCATTCTAATTGGTTTCTAATCTCTCTAAAAACATCGTGAATTTCTGGTCCGATGTTTCAGGGTACTTATGTGCATCATAAAGAAATAAAGGCTGCACAGGGTATTAAAATTACCGCCCAGGTGATTGGACTGACTCCACCATTTTCTTAGTTGCTACCCTCTGCAGTTTAATTTACTGATATTTGGATCACAACTTGAATATCGTTTCCCATTTTTGGTTTTGTATAAAAAGGGCCTTGAACACGCAATTGCTGGCACTGCACTGCATGTGATTGGACCTGATGATGACATCGATGCAATTAAGGAGCAGGCTATGGAAGATATGGAGTCAGTTTTGAGCCGGATCGACAAAAGTGGTGAAGGAGTTTATGTACAAGCGTCTACATTAGGATCATTGGAAGCATTGCTTGAATTCTTAAAGTCCCCAGCAGTAAAGATTCCTGTCAGTGGTATCGGTATAGGGCCTGTGCATAAGAAGGATATCATGAAGGCAGGAGTGATGCTCGAGAGGAAGAAGGAGTATGCTACAATTTTGGCTTTTGATGTGAGAGTAACTACGGATGCTCGTGAGCTTGCAGACGAGATGGGAGTAAAGATCTTCTGTGCCGATATCATCTATCATTTATTCGATCAGTTCCAGGCGTACATTGAGAATATCAAAGAGGAGAAAAAGAAGGAATCAGCCGATGAAGCAGTCTTCCCATGTGTACTTCAGATCTTACCTAACTGTGTGTTCAATAAGAGAGACCCAATAGTCCTTGGAGTTGATGTCAAGGAGGGTGTACTTAAGGTATCCTATTTCTTACTTTCCTAGATTCTCTGCAACTCACATACATGTCAGACTTATGTCCTAGGATTCACACTTTCTTAACATTCGTCTTTGTTGGTTTATAGATTGGAACTCCCATCTGCGTCCCTGGCAGAGAGTTCATCGATATTGGCCGCATTGCCTCTATTGAGAACAACCATAAGCCTGTTGACTATGCAAAGAAGGGCAACAAGGTGGCGATTAAGGTAATGAGATCATTCTCTTCTTCAAAGAGAGACAAAGGAGTAATTGTTGATGTGGTTTCAGCTTCACACATTCACATCCTAATCGATGCTTTTCTCTGGTATACAGATTGTTGCTTCGAATCCTGAAGAACAGAAAATGTTTGGGAGGCACTTCGACATGGAAGATGAGCTTGTGAGTCACATTTCGAGGAGATCTATCGACATACTCAAAACCAACTACCGGGTAAGTGGAGAAAAAGTTGTTTACCCTTCTGGGTTTCTCTACGAATCATCATTTTGACTAAAAAATGATCTAAATCATTGCAGGATGAGTTATCCATGGATGAATGGAAGCTAGTTGTAAAACTGAAGAACATCTTCAAGATACAGTAGATTCCTCTAACAGTCAACTTGTTGGCGCTTGAAACACCACAGGCCTGGGAAACAAACAAGAGTCTTGAGATATACAACCTTATATGCCTTTTATTTTTTTTGACTTATTTCCATTTTTGTTGAAAGGAAAAATAATCGAATGAAGGAAAAATAATCTGAAAGATTAATGTTAATGTTTTGGTTAATGTTCAGATTCAGTATTAGGATATACATGTTTTAGTTTTCTTTTTCTTTTAAAATAACAAACTTCTGAATTGGATCATTCTTTTGACGACGGCACGAAAGTATCTCCTTTTTTGTTCGTAATAACTAAAAGCAAGCTGCTCCTCCTTTTATGGAGATGTGATGGAAATAATGCACAAGAGATTATATAAGTATACGACAACAATTTATAAAGTAGTTCTCATTTTTACTTTATGGATGTTGTCGAGATCATCGATATGTTATGTAATTATGTTCAATGTTTATTATAATCTCGCATTCTCGCCCATTGCTTTACTTCATCTAATATGATCCTTTGTTTTTCCGTAACATCATCATATATTTCCGTCTATTCTTAATCTAAATTTTTAATTGATTCACAACTAGTATTTAAACTGATTTTTCTTCTTTTAATTAGCACCAAGAAAAAGTAGCATATGTCATAAAAACAAATGTTAGTTCCAAAATACAAATACTTTATAAGCGTTAATAAAAAAACGGGTTATATAATGGGTTACTAACCTTAACCTTCGTGGCATTTTAGTATAATTTTATATCTTAGTGGTAGATTTTGGAATCAAACAAAAAATGTGGTAACTTTGCTTAAAATTTTACATAAAAACTAAAAGATTAGGAACTATGATAAACCATAACAGTGGTCGAGAAGCTGTAAAAGAATTCACTGTAATCTAATTTTCACAATAACGAAATATTCTTGCTAATTCACATAAAATCAAGAATAATCTTTTTTCTATTAAAGTTAAAATCAAGAATAATCGTAACTGCGATTAAATAAAAACCTCGCATTTTGGTTTTTTCTTTTTCACATCTTATTATCTCAATAAACACAAAGAAAATAAAATCAATTGAACGACTACAATATATCAAGAGAAAGGAAACGATTATTGTTTCAATGTTGCAATTCCATTTCAACATTAACGTACGTTGCCTTTTATTACCGAAACAAACGTTGCCTTAAATTATATAAAATAAAAAACAAACCATCATCGTTTCATAAATAACTTTACAATATAAACGTTAACCTCATTACCAAATTGAAAATTACATGTTGAAAATTAAAACATGACATGCTTGTAGCTTTAATAATCTGTGTTACGATGGTATGAAGATTTAAAGTAAAAAGAGTGTGTTCACGAACAGTAACCACACGTTAAGTGTTCATAGATTTCTAACTGAAATTCACTCTAAGATATTCAACACATACCTTAAGATGTCACCACTAACAATTCAAAGTCCATGAAACCCAATAAGCTTAGTCAAGCCATACGTAATCGCCATAGCTAACCATCCTCCAAACAAAACCCTAGCCGATGACCTAACCACCGGCGCCTTCCCTAACGCCGCTCCTAACCACCCGAATACCACAAGCGCCACCGTAACCGCAGCCACAACCGCAATGATCCTCACTCTATACTCCTTCACAAACGCAGCCGCCAAAAGCGGCACAATCGCACCCGCAGAGAACGCAAGCGCAGACGCAGCCGCTGCTTGTAGCGGACTTGGAAGCTTCTCTTTCTCTATCTCTCCGCTCTCTCTCTCCATCTGAGCTACCTCTATGTCGTATTGAGAGTAAACGGAGACGAACTCTCCGATAGCCATACTGCAAGCTCCGGCCACCATTCCGGCGAATCCAGAGAGAATCATAGCCTTGACTTCTTGTTTCACGGCGCCAACTCCCATCATCAACGACGCGGTGGAGACGAGACCGTCGTTGGCTCCGAGCACGGCGGCGCGTAGCCATTGAGCGCGTTTGGAGTAGTCGAATGTTGTTGATTCCTTCTCTATGTCCATGTTCGTGTTACGTTCTTGATCCATTTTTTCAACTTGATAAATTTTTTTTTTTTTTTTTTGTGGAATGTTTTTGTTGAGTAGAGAATCGAGTAAGTGTGGAGAACACACGCCTAGGCTCTGTTCTATTTATGGAGATTTTTGAGTTTACTTTTTAGCTTGGTGGAGACAATATGTGGAGCATCACCACTGATTTTTGTTTTTTTGTTAATATTAATTTATGAAATTGGAAAGGAAAAAACAATTGTACACTAAGTTAGGGCAAATTAAAATCCGATGCTATCACAAACCATGTTAATAGAAGAAAAGACAACTATAAAAATGTTGTTGTTTGCGATTGATATAATAAATTGAGACACGGATTTTTGTTCTTCTTATATTTCAACTTCAACGTGTAGATTAGATACTTATACTATGCTTCGTGTCAATATTACAAAATGACTTGAGAGTATGAATCTTCTAGATTTAATTGGTACGCATGGATACGATTCTTTTAACCTTTCTAACCTTCCTACGCTATAAGGTCTTATCGGCATATGAAATCGGAAATGAAAAAATGATGTGAAAACCACATTCTTGTATGTTTCTCACCATTTTCATATAATTAAAGATAAAATTCCATAGTGAGGCCAAAAAAGGCAGTTACATAAGAAGCTGTTCTGTCCGCTTCATGATCAAAGGCATGCATGTCTTTTAGGGAAAAAGAAAAACGTAACTTATTATAAAGGAAAAAAGGAAATTTCAACTTGATCCATTAGTAGACGCAATCTTTAACACAATTTTAATTTTAAGCATATTTATTTGAACTTGATCCTTTACTTACTGATTTTATGATTTTATGACCATGGTTTTTTAACGTAATCGTTGTTTGTCCTCGACAAAGAAAGGAACCAAAAAAGGGAGAAAAAGAAGGGAAAAGGAGTAGCTAATCAATCAAACTGTTTTGTACATTTAAATTGAGTTTTTAAAATAATGTTTGACCAAAAGTTATCAATAATTGTAGATTTTAGTAGTGTTTGACCAAAAGTTATCAAATTGAATGGAATTATCACAATATTATATTGATTAGAATATATTTCTTTTGGGAGTTATTCAGTTATGTTTCTGAGTGTAAAATCTTTAATTGCAACATTTAATTATACTTATATACCTAATTATACAAGTTATATAACTTAAGAAGGTTTCATCAGATAAATAAACTAATAAATGCTGTTAATTTTTTTAAAAAAAAATTGGATCAATATACAACTGAATAAACAAAAGAAAATTTGAGAGACACCACGTCCGGCATGCAAATTCACCATAGAACGATTACAACATAGAATAGTAGAATCCAACTTTTTAATAATCAAATACGAATCAGATGTTTATTCACGAAACAAATTCTTAGATCCTCTGAAGATCGCAATGAGCAATTAGATCCGTTTAAAAGTCAAAAACCTAATAAAAAACAGATAGGGAACAGATAAAAGTAGGGTTTCATGAAATATAAAATAATAAAAATATATACAAAAGAAATGGATTGATGAATTGGAAAGCACTGGGAAAATTAGAGTGAAATCAAATAATGGAAAGAGATTGATAATAAAGAAAGAGGAAGAGTGTGGTTTCCACACGAAGAGCACCATCCTTCACCATCATCACCCACGCATCACCACACTTGTACATACACCACCACTCGATTCATCATCAGACTAATGTAGACATGTAGTCAATAATTAGTTTAGGATTCTATTAATTAATTGAGATGTGTGTAGTATTGTAATATTCTATGTACCATGTATATAACACAATGAACATGCATACGTACTCGCCTACGTATACTCACGTTATCACAACGATTAACATTACTAAAGCATAATTCAAAAATATACATTAATAAAAAAAATTGAATTTGTTTATTACATTTAAATATCTACAACGTCTGTGGAACATGGTTTACACATAAGATCCAACAAATTTCTTGTAACATAAGATAGGTAAACTGTTTGATCGAAAAAAAAAAAAAAAAACTGTTTGATCGATGATTATACAATCCTCGTCCCTTTAGCGCTAACTAGGGTTTTTCTGTTTCCTTCCGTCTCGATAAGGATATTAAGATGGATTAAAACCCAGAGTTTACCCAAACCCAAATTGGCTCATGTTTTTGTGCGCTGTGAAATAAAAGTGATTGAAGCGTTGACCATGGAGTGAGTAATATTATCTGTGGTTGGGTTTATCTAAAAAAGTACTGGGTTATCGATGGGGTTTTTTATTCACATAATTAAAAAAAAAAATTCTTATACCATGAAATTAGTTTTTGGTGAAATACCTTATTTTTTCCAAAAATAATAATTGAATACAGTTTTACTGTAAAAACAAAATCGACAGTTAGATTAAAAGTGATCACATTTACCTAACGTGATCAGGCCTATAAAAGAGATGTTAATCTACATATATATGCATGCATGCTGGTGGAGTATATATTAATCTAATTTTTCTTGTCAACAAACAAATTTTAGAATGATTAAAATCCAAAACTGGATGTACATAGTTTATATAAAAGATATCATATGAATATAGTCGAGCACTCCGTGCTAACCTATCCATATCTGAATTTGAAATATATAAGATGAACGGGATAAAAAAAAAACAGTAAAACATTCTTTAATCTTCACGAATTTATCCACGTGAATTGAGAACGCATGCAATTTGTATATAGGTGTAGAGAACATTTTCAATAGTTCGAAACAATTTCTTGTACAAATATCCTTGTTTCCTACTGTACAATTATATAATGCATATTCATTTGTATGCTTTCTATTCGAAATATAGCGAAGAATACTTGCATTCAATTTAGGTCCTATAATTGATTCTACTATATATCGTCATATTAATTGAATATAATATTTATCCATATTTGATTTTATCTATTGACTAATTATATCCATGATTTTTTTTTTCTTTTGTGTGTGCGTGTTAGTATTATCATCTAATTGAGGAAAAAGTTTCAACTTTATTATCTTGATAACCAAGACGAATTCTGTATGGAAGAACCTGTAGTGGAGGTTCAAGATTTGACGGTTCATGCTAGCTTTCCATTTCAAGACTTCATTTTAATGTATTACTACGTGTTGTCTCGTTTTGCATGTCTTCCATTATAACAAAAAGAAAAAAAATACACTTTTATCTTCCGCATATTCGTCGAATAGAATCAAATTAGAAGAATGCCAGCTTAACTATAAGAAAAAACAAAAGGGTAAGGGACGCTAAAAAATTCTTATACAAAAAACACTGTTTTGAATGGCATTCCTAAGAAAATTTTGAAAATAAAAGGGTAGGGACGCTAATAAAATGGGTCTGAAAACAATGGGCCTGAAAAAACGGGCCCTTTGGTCAGGGCTCCTTACCTTGGGCCCATTTCTCCCAATCTTGGAAGACAATGAAGGGGAAGTACATTCTTTTTTTTTTAAAAGTTTACTTTAGATAAGTTATGTTCTTGTTTTTTTTGTTTGACATCTTTTTCGTTCAAGTGCCACAATTTGATCTAATGGGTCTATTAACTTAATTTTAAATTTTTCTTCCTTTACTTATTTTTCCAAATAAGAGGATACATCATACATGTTTACTATACAGGATATACTAAATGTTTTATGTGTAAGATATAAATAACGTCTTGTTAGTTCGATTAAAAAAGTTCCCATTATGTGGTATTTGGACGGGACCAATTTACGTACTTTAATTCTAAACCTAAAAAAATTGTACGACCCAAATAGCCATTAAAAAAAAAATCCAAAAAAATGCGAAGGATAGACCAAAAATAAAAAACAAACTCAATATTTTGTTGTCTACCAACACAATCCCAATAAACATATTATAATAGGAAATAGTTTATATTAAAATATATATTCAGATCTATGTACATCATATAGTAATGGGATTAGTAGGTGTAGACTTGGCCCATCATCTAAAATAAGAGTATATGTCTTCACTGATTGAGTAGCTGCTAACTTAGTAACCTGGACTATTCTACTCTCTCTAAGCACCAATAATTAGCTCATATACTTTTATAGTTCTATATAGACTAAATGAACACCCCGTGCCCCGTGTTACACGCCATTACTTTTCAATTTGTAAGAGTTATACATATATATGCTTGTTTTTGTAAGTGTTTGATTACATTTCAGCTATTTTTAGTCAACGTTATTCAACTACATTATGTGATATTTTTAATCATTTCATTTTTCGTTATATTTTAAGTGTCTTATAATAATATAATGTAAAATACAAAATTTTATTAAAATGTAAAATTAGTTTTAATGATATCCGTCAAAGTTTGAAGTACGTACTAATGAGATCTAGAACATAACTATATTTCTAATTTTTGCGATGTTATATATATATACATATATATACATATATATTATTGGTATTTAGTTCAAGGGTGACAATTTCAATATTTTCAAAATTTAACACATATTTTGTTGTTTTTAGAGCTATAGGTAAAAATGACATTAAAAACCACACTTTTAAGTGGAAATAAAAGGTGGAATAAGATTCTTTATGTAGACATAAGCATGTGCTCGGACTTGTAAGCACACCTAGATAATGTAAATTATTTTGTTGCCACTCTAGCTCACGCACGACTATATATGTAATATATATATATAAATTGAGAACACCACAAAAAAAATTCCATCACTTTTAAATGCCCCAAACGCTTCTAGGTGCTCGGTTCTTGATTGGTTTGTAAACTTTAGTTAATCAAAACACTAAAATGAAGATTAATTAGTGAAAAATGAGTAGATGAATTGAACGTATTCGGATATTACAAGAATAGTATACAGAATGAGATTACTGTAGTTAGAGCCTACACATATCGTTTGAATATAAGATTTGTCACACAATATGTATAATGTACCCATACGGTACATTATTAGTTTCAACATAAAATATCATAGCGACAGAGTTATCGTAACATGTGTGCAAGAATAGGTAGAAATAGATCCCTGAACACGATCAACATGATGACGATCTTGTGAATAGTTTTAAAAATTATAATCGAATAACGTCAAAAAAAAAAAAAAATTGCTCGACAGAAGTCATAGAGGATATGAGGTAATCTAAACAAATTTTTACAGGAAAGTTGGCAGTATATTTGGATCTATGCTCCACCTACCAATCTCCAATTTTTTTCCAATTCCTCAAAATAGATTCACAGATGATACCACCTTAATTTTTTTTTTTTTTTATAAACCAATTCCACAATTTCAACATTTAGTAATTCTGCCCAAATGATGATGTGTTGTCAATTTTATTCAAACCAATAAAATTATAATCCAACCGATTCCACCAAATGGATGTTACCAACCTACCATTTACAGTATACAACTATGTCTATATTTCTATTTTTGCGTGTTTCACGTGGTTGCTGGTTTAAAAAGAAGACTATTTTATTGTCTGATTGCCACCTACCTAATTCAGCCACCATTATGGACCGTCAAGCCCAAAGAAAAATGACTGAATAATAATAGTATACTCAATCTTTTTATGCTTACGAAAATAATATTATCTTTATATCAAAATAATTGCAATGAAATTATTTAAGAGATTGAAGAGTCTAAGCACGACAAAACAAAAAAAAGAAGAAGAGTCTAAGCAAAACGCCTACAAAAGGAGTCACAAAGATGCAGGAAAAACAATGTACTGAAAAATCCTCCCTTTCTCTATCTTTTGATCTAAAAACATTACCTTGACGGAGAAGAAAGCAAGATCAAAAACAATAAAAATGGGACACGTTTTCGACCCTAAAATCATAAATGAGATTAACGGAGATGAAGAAACGGAGCTTGGTTTGAGGGCGGTGAGGTTAGCCAACTACATAACCTTCCCGATGGTTTTCAAAGCAGCCATCGAGCTCGGTGTCATCGACACTCTCTACTCGGCTGCTCGTGCTGACGTCAATGGATCCGGTTCGTTCCTCAAACCGTCTGAGATAGCGGCTCAGCTTCCTACAAAGCCTAGTAACCCTGATGCACCGGCTCTGCTGGACCGTATGCTTCTTTTACTCGCCAGCTACTCAATGGTCAAGTGCCAAGTCGTTGATGGTGAGAGGGTTTACAAAGCCGAGCCGATTTGTAAGTATTTCTTGAGATACACTATTGAAGAAATGGGGACACTTGCTTCTCAATTCATTCTTGAACTCGACAGTGTCTTCCTCAACACCTGGTAATTACTTTCTTGATCTCTTTTCAATTTCTATAATAAGATACAAGAAAAGGGTTTCTTTTTGGTTTTTTGCTGATCAATAACTAAATATTTCAGGGCACAATTAAAAGATGTGGTGCTAGAAGGAGGAGATGCATTTGCCCGCGCCAATGGTGGGCTGAAGCTATTTGATTATATGGGAACAGATGAAAGATTAAGCAAACTCTTTAACCGGACTGGATTTAGTGTCGGGGTTATGAAGAAGTTTCTAGAAGTTTATAAAGGTTTCGAAGGACTTAATGTGTTGGTTGATGTTGGGGGAGGAGTTGGAAACACATTAGGTTTTGTTACTTCAAAGTATCCAAACATCAAGGGTATCAATTTTGATCTAACTTGTGCTTTGACACATGCACCTTCTTATCCTAATGTGGAGCATGTGGCTGGAGATATGTTTGTTGAAATCCCAAGAGGAGATGGTATCATCTTGAAAGTAAGACCCAAGAACAAATTCATACTCTTGTCTGACTTCTTAAGTGTTTTTTTATTTTTTGTATATACTAAATTTATATGTTTTACAGCGTATGCTTCATGATTGGGATGATGAAGACTGTGATAAGATTCTCAAGAATTGCTGGAAAGCATTACCGGAGAATGGAAAAGTGATTATCATGGAGTTAGTTATTCCGAATGAGTCAGAGATTGGTGATGTTCAGTCCAACATTGCCTTTGATATGGATTTGTTGATGCTCACACAATGCTCTGGAGGAAAAGAGAGGACAAGGGCTGAGTATGAAGCTTTAGCTGCAAAATCTGGTTTTGCCAACTGCAACTTTGTTTGCCGCGCATATCATTTGTGGGTCATTGAGTTCACTAAATAGGCTTGATGTTGTAAGCTGATTCTTCTTGTGTTCTGAAACGAGGCTGAACCTTCTCATGGTAATAAAAGCTGTATGGAATCTTGAGTTCATTTCAATTGAAAACTCGAATAAAGATGATATTGTGCTTTGGTTAGAACTTGTAACATCTTATTTTTCTCTTGGAACGAACAAAACGAATAACAATGACTATGAGTGACATAAACAATGCTGATCCTGCAACTAACCCGAATCCTAGTTTGATTCTTCTTATTTGTCTGATTTTATCATTATCTTCATCTGAATCCATCTCTTGAATCACTTCAGCTTCCCAATCTTCTTCTGACTCTTCATATTCAACTTCTAACTCTTCTTCGTCATCTTCACTTGTGTTTGTATCCACCGGTTCTTGGATCTCGTCTGGTTTCTCATTTCTTCCTGGTTCGATTGATTCTCCTTTTCCTATCTCTTGAATATTTTTCGAGCTGCCATCTTCAAACTCATTTTCTCTGTTCTGTTTTCCTCTGCAACAATGTGTTCTGTCTTCCAACAATTCTTTGATCCTTTCTTCTTCACCTGTTTCTTTTTCTTTGGTCTGATGAATCTTTCTTGAATCATTATCCCTGCTTTTTGTTTCTGTCTTTGCGGTTTCTTCATCTTTAAGGTTATCTGTTAATCTTTGTTGCACCAGTTCTCTGGTCTTGTCTTCTTTTCTCAGTCCTTCAGGTCCTTTTGATTCATGATCTTCAGATTTTTCGAGGACCTCCGTAATCATGCTCTTCTTGTTTGCTCCTTCTTGGTTTTTCATTCTCTCTTCCACCAATTCCTGAATGTTATCTAGGTTTTCTTTTCTTTCCACCGTCTTAGTTGATTCTCGGTTTTCAATCCCCTTAACCTTTCTTGGCCCCTCTGCCTCCGAAATTTCTTTATCTTCCTTACCATCCTCTTCATTACTGCAATAGTAATTTGGTCCCAGGTTCTTGTCTTGTTCCTCATAATTTCTCTTTTGTTGGGGAGACTCTTGTTTTTCATTTTCTTGTGTCTTTCGTGAGCTATCATCTCTACTCGTTGCCTCTTGAGTCTTATTCTGTTTTGCTTTACCACTTGTGTCCTTCTCCACAAACGATTGCTTCTTGTCTTGTTCTTTCTGTCTCACCACAATTGCTAATTCTTCTTTTTCTTCTTCAAAGCCACCATCCCTGATTTTTGTCTCTGCCCCTGCTCTGTTTCCTTCTTTATTATTGTTTATTTCCGCTTCTGCATGTTTTCCGCTCATCACTACTACTCCAATTTTTTCAAGTTTATCTGGCTTTTGTTCTTCAATCTTCCTTGAGCTATCATATTCATCTATTGCCTCTGCTTTCTCAACAACCTCTTCCTTTTCTTCTTCTCTCCTCTGATCACTTGTTTCTATTTCCACCACTTCTTGATTATTTTCTTTTTTCTTTCCCCCTCCCAATGTAGTTGTTTCGTGTCCTTCAGTCTCATTCTTTTTTGAGCTATCATCAGTAGCTTTCGACTTCACCTGCAGACTTCTCATCGCCTTCTCCTTATGCTCTCCTTCTCTTATATGATATTCTTCTTTTCCGCCCTCTTCAGCCGTTAGTTCTTGGATTTGTTCTTGTTCTGCATATCTCTCTGTCTGATCTGATCCTATTTCTTCAACATCATGAGACTGGCTTGAAGCTTCCATAGATTTTTTCTTGAGAACTGTCTTATATCCTCCTCCTTCATTCATTTCTTCTTCTCCGTATCCCTGTAAATTTTCTTCCACTGATTGATTTTCTTGGATCTCACTTAGTTTCTTCTGTTTCTCTAATTCATCTGATTCTTGTGCTTTAATTTTCTCAACATTTCTTGAGCTAACATCATCAGCTACTCTCTTCATCTCTTCACTTTCTATATCGGCCATCCCCTTCTCCTCTTCTGGAATCTTGTCATGCTCTCCGTTTTCTAGAATCTCTTGGTCCTTAGTTCTGCTGCTAATCTTATCTTGCATCTCCTCTTCTGCATTTTTCTCATTTCCTTCTGATTCTTTTTTAGGAGGATTTGTTTTCTCTTTCACTGGTTTAGGGCTCTTCCTCAGTTCCTCATTCTCTTCCGATTCATCCAATTCCACCTTTTCAAACTTTCTTGATTTACCATTGTTGGCTTTTGTCTCCACCTCTGCTTTTTCTTCATCTTCTCGCTCCACCTTCTTCAGTTGTTGGACTTTTTCTTGTTCCACTGGTCGTCTCTTTGATATATTCGTTTGTCCCTCTCCCTTCAGATTCGTTTTCTTTTTCTTGTTGTTCTCATTTTCTTCCATCTAATCGTCGTGACTCCTTGTAATTAATGAAGACTCCTCAACCAAAAAAACTAACCAAAACGAACGCACTATCACGAATT